CCAACAGCTGAAGAATGAGAAGATCATCAAGAAATGCTTAGGAATACCAGTCAACCATAGCTGTGAAGAAATCTTGGATGACTACTGGGTATGGCAAAGGAACCATGAAGACCTGCATCTGGAATACCTAGCCAACTCACCAATGTCAGAATTTGAAGTAGATGATGAAGATCCTTCAGTCTACAAACCAGTCTTCTCTAAAGCCACAGAAGAACAGGTGGTTCTCACTTCTGAAGCACAAGCTGTTTTGGAAGCAACAGCTTAGGACTTCCAAACATTTCCGGAAACCTCACCTGCCTTTGAAACGCAAACCTCACCTGCTCATCAGGACACCTCACATGCTTCTGAAATGGTTCTGACTGAAGCTGTCCAAGAGAAGGCAGCCTCTCCCCCATAAGAACAAAACCAGAAAACAGCAGAAATTCTGGAACAGTCAATTTTTCCAGATACAAATGAAGAGGAGCAAGCTGTAGAAGTCCAAAGAAATTCTGGAGAAGCTGAGAAGGAAACTCAAATGGCAGAACTGGAGGTCTCTAAAACTCCAATAGCCATTCTTGAAGAACAAAATGAAGCTGAAGATAGTGATTCCCTCTCTAGATATATATCGAATTTTGCGCTTGATGAAGCAGAAGAAGAATCTGAGAGAACATTAAAGATCACTGATGAAGAAGATGTACAAGAAGATGCTGAATCTCTTCCTATGCAACTGTTTCAAAGAACACCCTCTTCTCATCAGGTAACCAACTTTCATTTCCATAGCTCTTCCACCCCTACACTTCCGAATGAAATACCGGAACTCTGGACAAAGAACGTCCAAGGGTTGATTGAATCAGCCCTAGCATCTCAACATGCCTCCTTTAGGCAAGAGATAGAGCAAATGGAAGCCAGGTACACCAAGCTGATAGAGACATCTGAAGAGAAACACAGCGCAGATCTCAAAGATATAAGCAAGTCAGTGCACAAGGCTCTAGAGATCATCTCTCTATTGAGCAAAACTGTGAGCAACACGATGGAGATATATGCATCTGACAGTCATCTTCAACTCAAGGAGATTAACAAAGTCAAAGAGCAAATAGCTAATATCACCGTCAGCCTACAAAAGCAAATGTCTCTTCTCCAAATGGACATCAGATCAGCTCTAGCAGTATCTTCAGCAAATCAAGTAGTGACCAAAGACTACTTGAAGGTGATCATTGACAATCAGAAGGAAGCACATAAACTGTTCAGACTTCTTGGCGCAAAGTCTGGAAATCGCAAGATGGAAGTGATTCTTCAACAACACAGTCCATCCTTGATACCAGAACTCCCCATTGCAGTCAAAGAAGGAGAAGTCTCTTATATCCCTTCTCATCTGAACATGACTAATCTAATCCTTGAAGCACAGCAAAGAAATCTGGAGAACTCAGCGCAGCACCTATCCAGCTCAGGATTGGATGGAACAGAGGCAATAGGAACTGTTGCTGCTCACTTCTCAGATGATAACCAAACAGAGGAGAAACGCAACAGTATAAGGCGCATCAAAGAACTTTGTGGCAACATGCAAGGTATCAGTGAGGCTGCCGGATCTTCAAAACGCAAAAGGAACTGAAGGTTCTTTTCATCAAACCAGGGGGAAAGTATGTGAAAACACTAATTTGCTTTGATGAAAACACCTTCTTGTTTAAACATTGCTTGATTGGTTTAAACATTGCTTCAACAATTCTCTTATTTGTGCTCATTATGCTTAATTATGCTTATCTCAAGTATGATTTTGAGAAATTTTGTTTCTGAAGCGAATGTAATTCAGGGGGAACTTAACTAGTTTTGGCTAATAATTGTTTTTGGCTATGAATTATTGATGAGCTCTAAGCAATAGAAGACGGATATCTCAGTTTTGGTACTAAAATTGGAAATCTCCGATTCAGGTACTCTACAAAATCTGCCTTCTTAAACTAAGCTTTAATCCTTAATTCATTTCCAACTAGCTCAAAAAGTACTGGTCCTTAGGATTTTAATAATGTACAGGACTTTGGAAAAATAGTACCACTTTTCTTTTAAAAATAAAATTCATATTTGTTTTGGTACTACCTCGTCCTAAGTAGAAATTAGAACTATAGGGAATGAAAAATGATAGTTTTATTTTGGGCCTTGAGAACCCAATAGGAATAATTTCCCTTTAGTACATAGCTTTCTTTTCTTTTTGGGCCACTCTTTTGGGCTTAGCCAAACTAAAACAGTTACGTTTCTCAAACCAAACGAAACTGATTTTCTAATTGG